GCCGAAGACATTTTTATTATGTCTATTTGTATTCTGTGGTCGGTCCGTGTATTGTCTTGGCTTGGACCCAAGTGTCAGAAATGAGATATATTTATCAACTAAGAGTGAGATTTTAATCTTTAGTAATTATTTTTCGGGAAAATCAGGTTATTGCGGTGATTATTATGAAATGATGCATGTGTCTTAAATGTTTAGGTCCGCCTAATATGTATATTTCCTTGTCATTTCATTTCATTTCATCTTTTTAGTTAATTATACAGTTTTCAACATTTGATACGACAATGTTCAAATTTTTATGGCATAAGCTGGTAAACGAGTAGACGGATCACCTGATGGTAAGCAATCGGCGTCGCCCATGGACACCTGGAACACCAGAGGCGTTAAAAGCGCATTACCGGCCTTTTGGGGATTGGGAGTTTGAGGATCGTTGGGGATTCAGGGATTGGGGGAGATTGGGGAAGGGAAGGGTAATTGGGCCTCTCAATTGACAATTCTTGAAGATTTGAGCAAAATATAGGAGAACCTGTGGCTGGAAAGCTAATACTTTTAAAAAAATCTAAGTATATAATTCAATATTTCCTAAATATTACTTAGCACGATTCCAAGTCACCATTGATTTACTTCCAACATCTCGTAGGTACGTAATACGTTGACCAAATAGGCTATCATCACTAAGTCAAAGTACAGTCATCGCCCTAAACTACATTTCATACAAAACATGATTCAAACTGACCTCAATTTAATAACACAATAAATTTTCTCATAATAACGGCTACTCTTTTATCTCTAAATTATCATAACAATGCGAATAATCGATTCGCTGGACAACCCATCCATTCACCGGCCTCATTCAATACTGCTTAACCGCTAAACCATCGTTGAGTGTAATAAACATGCCAATAATATTGTATCTGGTTCACCTTAATCCTTACTAATATTATAAATCTGAAAGTGAGTTTGTTTGTTTGTTTGTTCCACCTTCACGCCGTAACTACTCAACCGATTGCTTTGAATTTTTGCAGACGTAAAGTTAGAAGACCGGATTAAATAATAGGGTACTTTTTATCCCGGAAAAATTTGATATTCCCGAGCGAAAACAAAAGTATTGGTATAGATGGCGCTGTGTGTATTGGTATATGTCATATAGGCTACTTTTATTCTTTTGTGACGCGAGCGAAGCCGCGGGTAAAAGCTAGTGTGTAATAATTTAGACAAAATGTTTTGTGAATACAAATTTCTAGCTAATCTGTAGCTAACCTGCAGCTCTAGCCAAATGCCATTTAGCGCTTGTCTACATGTAGAATAGAAAACCAAATTATATGGAATTGACGTAAATTTTGACACTTGTCAGTGTCATTCCCATACATTTTGATTTCTACTCTCACTGTAGACAAGCGCTAAAGTGGCGTTTGGCTAGAGGCCCAGGGCCCTTAGCCAAACGCCACTTTAGCGCTTGTCTACAGTGAGAGTAGAAATCAAAATGTATGGGGATGACACTGACAAGTGTCAAAATTTACGTCAATTCCATATAATTTGGTTTTCTACTCTACATGTAGACAAGCGCTAAATGGCATTTGGCTACAGCTGCTGTTTTGTTTAGAGTAAAATAACTGTGGGTGAAATATGTACACGACTACACATCGAACTTTACATAACCAGTATAAACTGAACGTTAAATGTGCGGAAAGATGATGCGACGCGATACCAGGATAAACTGGTTTTGCACAGATTGATGTGTGGCCGTGTGTACTAAGTAAAATTCGCGAAAACGATTAACTACCTACTCAAATACTTGTATGGCATAAATATAAACACACTTAAGTCATGTAACGTATATTAATTTACAATTTACACCAGTGCATCGGGATAAGTAGAAATATCACTACCTCGTTGGCCAAGTGTTCGCAAATGCGACTGCCGGGCAAGGGATCTCGGGTTCGATTCCCGGGTCGAGAAAAGTATAACAAGGTTTTGTAGTACCACGGAGTTTGGAATTGTGCCCGGTATATGGCAATAGGCTTACCCCTATTACATGGGAATTGTAACATAAATAAAGAAAAGTGGGTGTTACATTGTACAGAGGCATCAAGTGTCGTAATGTAAACCTCTGCCTACCCATTTGGAGATAAAAGGCGTGATGTTATATTACGTATGCTAGGTTTTAACAAAATAAGAGGGTTAACCTTTAAAGACATACATGAACTTAAGCGTTGAGATTGAAAAAAATCTGAATAATGTTTAATTAATAAGGGAGTTTTTTAGTTACGTTTCGCTCATAAACATCTGAATGCCAGACTTAAATTATTTCTGATAATAGAGGTAGTAAATAGATGAACCCTATGAAACGTATCCTTATGTCATGAGACAAATGAATGCCCAACTTATTTTTTTAATTTACATATGATTTACATTAATAATTGTGCTCACTATTGGCTATGTGCGCGACGGTGGCGACGCGTAACGCTGTCAAATAATAACAACGTAAACATTATAATTTTCTTTGCAAATATAAATAAAACCAAAGATTAAAATAGTATTGTTGACATTATTTAAGTGCAATTTATTCAATAGTTTTACTTTAAAATTAATATAATAATAAAAAACCGGGTTTGCACAATCCGCATTTGTTTCCAATTTCTGCCGTGTTGTACGCTGCGGTCGTTATCTGTCCGCCACTACGCGCTTTGCACATAGCCAATACTTCAAAACTTTATTGAAAATCGTCTACAAACCAAAATCCATGTCAGTTATATTGCATTTCAAGTAAATACCTCACAAGTTTTACTTCGAACCCAAGTGACAATGAGCCCAGTGGGTGGAATGTGGGATGTCTGGCCGAAAATATCATTAATCTTTCAAACTATCGTAAAACAATAAAACGGTCGTTGTATTATTATGGGTAGGATAACTGTTTATACAAGGTGTTGTTTTAAAGCCGCGTCATTTTCTACCTCTAGGAGGTAACTCGACTATCGATTTTGAGTCCGAATCAATAAAAAAAAATTGTAGGTAAATATTTTTCATTTTTCTGTAAATTACGGAAATCCATAAGTGCGAACTACACACTGCCGTCTTGTACCTAGTTTTATAACGCGGCTTAACACACACAAACTCAAATACGTAATTGACATTATTCCTAATTCCATAAAACTCCAATAAGAAACATTGCTGTCACTTATTCTGATATCTCGTCGAGTACCGGTTTTATAGACACAATTAAAGAACAATAGGTCGCGGTCACCGGTGACCGCTTGGTGTTTGACAGAATATACTGTCGAACTTAAACTATTTATTATAGCCGTATTTTTAACTATTCACCCAAAAATTTTTCTTACATTGAACCTTTATGACTTCTGTGACAAGCCCCCGAGAAATGCCATGGTTTCAAAACTACACCTTGTATATACCAAGATATAATTGGTTGAAAATTATTTGATTGGATTTTTAAGGTGAGGCGCCAATATCGATGAGTAGCAATGATTGGCGGTGTCTTTGTCAAAAAGGTTATAAATCTGTTATTTATTAGCTATTGAGTGAAGCTTTTTTAATATACGCATTGTTTACGACTTCTAATTTACAAATTAGAAATCAAATATGTATGTTGATAATAATGTGAACAGTTTTCCAAAAAATGTGATTTATGAAAACTTGTTTGACGATATCGTAATTCACTAGATATAATATATAAATGCACGGTTGGTGCGGTGGCTGGGCAACCGGCTGCCGTGCAACGTATCGCGGGTTCGATACCCGTACGGAACAACACTTTGTGTGATCCACAAATTGTTGTTTCGGGTCTGGGTGTCTTGTGTATGTGGACTTGTATTTTTGTAAACGCACCCACGACACAGGAGATAATCCTAGTGTGGGGCAACGTTTATTAATAAAAAAAGAAAAAAAGCTGTGACGTCATGATTATACCTAATTAACTCGTCGAGTACCGGTTTTATAGACACAATTAAAGAACAATAGGTCGCGGTCACCGGTGACCGCTTGGTGTTTGACAGTTTAATTATGTTTATGACAACAAACATTGAGTATTATTGTGTCTAAACATTGTCTTTAAAATTGACAAATACGTTTTAAATCAATAAACCAACTACACTAAGCATTTTCTAAGAAAAATGAATAAAAAATAAAGCATTTTAAACCAGCGCAGCACACAAGTGTACTCAACCACGTGTAGCCACTTAAACAAGACATCAATAGGTTGCCACTCTGTCTACAAACTCAGGCGTAACTCATTTACCTCGGCTCGTTATGCGCATGCGACTAAAATAGAGAACAATTACATGTTAGCGTTATTAATGACTTTCAAGTAATAAAAGTAATGGGCTGAACTAGAAATAGCCTAGTTTATTAGTTTGGCTAGATTTAAGACTAGAAGATTTATTATGACAAATTGTTTTGTATTTTACGTGTAATTTATTTGTGTGCGGTTGTGAATTATTTTGAAATTGGGAGTCTAGTTTTTTTAGTTTATTTCTTTTGTGCTGAATTTATTGTCGTTTGGATTAGGTTTTGGGATATATTATATTAGAGTAACATGGTTTTGTCATAGTAACTGAATGACGTATGAATCGAAATACAGCTTCGTTTTAAAATAAGATTCAAAGCTTCACATTTGAAATTATAATATATTCCAAGTATCCATGAAACGCATTAGATAGTCAGATATTTCAGTTTATTAAATACTAAATAAAATATTAAATGTATCCCACAGAGTTTGTGGGTCGTCATCGCATGTAAAAAAACCAAATTCCTTTCTATAACCGAGGACTTAAGATTGAATTTTGTTTGACAGAGAGTGTAGACTAAAAATCTTTTTATAATCGTGTTTAAAAAGAAAAGCAATGCATTCTCACCCACGTCTTACAGGGCCAATATTAGACGGTGAACACGCTTTACTACGTACAGAAATAAACAAGAACAAAGTTTAAATTCAGAATGCGTCGTTTTCACCGAAAATTTTACGTCACTTTTTTTTGTCCACGACCGAGATGAAATTGCGCAGTGTGCATAAGGAGTAAGATTTTTTTAGGTATCATAATTTATTTATATTTTTGATAAATATAAACTTTATTTCTAACATAACATAACTTCACGAGTTTTATCCCCGAAGGGGTAGACAGAGGTGTAAGTACATTACGGCACTTAATGCCACTGTACAATATAACACCCACTATTCATTATTTTATGTTATGAGTCCCATGTAATAGTGGGCGAGCCTAATGCCATATACCGGGCACCTTTCCGGACTCCGTGCTACTACTGAGAATTTCTATAAAAAACCCAGTAATACTTTGGCCGACCCGGGAATCGAACCCGACAAGCCTTACCTAGCAGTCGCGCTTGCGACTAGTCGGCCAACGAAGCAATCGGTATTAAAATGAATATTGGTAATAAATATAAATTTTATTTTTGTAACCTTATAATCAAAATATTGGTATGTAGGATTCGTCCCACGAAGTTTCAAAGAGACAGTTATGACTAAGATTCGAGATATTATTGTGAACGTCGTAGGTGCACACTAAAACTGTTATTAGATCATAATATTGAGATGCAAACCTCGGTTGCAATAAAATTAATAAGTATCAAAATATTTAGTATTACCCATGGGATGATCTTATTGATTTCAAAATGTATACCTACATATACCTCTACACATGGAAAAGGATTTCTAACATAAATTTAGGAAATATATTAAAGACTGATCGCAATATTATATGTATTATTATAATGGCCCAAAGAATCAGCATGCATCTACTTATTTGTCACAATTTAATTTCAAATTGTGAAAGAAATTATTAAAAAAAATTGCAAGCATACACATACACAGTTATATTTTATATAGAGGTAGATATAAAACATACATACATATTAAAGATTATGCAAATTATACATCACATAACTACTTACTCACATCGTAAATTAGAATTTATTACCATTAATGAACCGGGTCCATTCTTTGATTCTTTGGTTTTTTATCTGTTGGTAATTTCCAAATTAGGAACCAATTTCTTTTGTTAGATACCAGTAGGTGGATATTATTATGTAGGTATTTTTGAATGGGACAAACCCGCCACAACCTCCCTTAACCGCTGCAACTCCTGTAAGCCAGGATCTACAATAGATTTAACCATGAAAACACCGGAACACTGAAGCCGACACGTCCCAGGAACATTAATAACTGTTTTGGTTCCCGCAACGAAATGAATCAGAAGAGAATTGTTAGTTTATTCTCCGTACCTTATTTTTCGCAGATTTTCTACTTAAACTTAAGGTTGACTGGTAGGGAATGTCATATGGCATTTAGTTCGCCTTATGTGCCATAATCAAATTGTGTACATAAAAGACTAAATAAATAAATAAAAAATAATTAAAAGAGAGAACAATAACAGCAGTTTCTACTTCCGTCGGTGAGTTAATGCATGAGACAGAATGACTTAAGCCTAAAGGCACAAAAAAAGACTACAACTGGGAGAAGCCCAGTCCAGATAAGTATGTATGTAAATTATCTCTGTGAACTTGAATGTCAATAGAAAGGATTGAGTGAAGAGTTAGGTACTTAGCTACCTACATGAAATAGAAACGTCCACCCATTACACATAAAATATGTTCCAAAGAGAGTTAGTTTTCTTAAAGAAATCAGCTACAACTTCTTCTCAAACTTCAAACATGAAAGCAATAGACGTGAGACGTAGACCATTAACAACCTTTTTAAGGTCACGGAGACACTGGATCAGGTCATTTGTAACAGGCCTATCTGGAAGTCATTGGGAGGGTCTAATGTAGCTGATAATTATAATCCTTACTAATATTATAAATCTGAAAGTGAGTTTGTTTGTTTGTTTGTTCCACCTTCACGCCGTAACTACGCAACCGATTGCTTTGAATTTTTGCAGACGTAAAGTTAGAAGTCCGGATTAAATAATAGGGTACTTATTAACCCGAAAAAAATTTTATTCCCGAGGAAAAACAAAAGTATTGGTATAGATGGCGCTATGTGTATTGGTATATGTCACATAGGCTACTTTTTATTCTTTTGTGACGCGAGCGAAGCCGCTGGTTAAAGCTAGTAAACCAATAATTCCAAAACATACTTTTCCTAAACCAATTCGAAGAAGCGTAATTCTCAGAATCTCAGTCTCTCAGAAGATCAGTAAGTATATTTTGATCTCATCCATCCAATAGTTTAGTACATTAAGTCGGAAGTTTTACCTGTTAACACATATAAATTCAGCCGGTCTGTCTGTCACACGATGCGATACTATGGACTGTTGCCAACTTCTCAGTTTCCGCGAACATCTATTTTATTGGTTGAATGCATGCTTTTTTTAGTACGCTATTTAAATTATTGTTTTTATTTTCCTTTATAAAAGACGTTTGTTTTAGTTTCTTAATGGAATCGGTTGATTTTGATGGAATTATTTGGTTGCTGTTGTATTGTTACGAAAAGTATGGCAATTAAAATATCTTCATAGATTGTAGCACTTTTAAATTATTAATGTTTCTGAGATAGGTCGATGGGGTAATTTACATCATTCTGACGACACACGTCACCCTATTTGTTGAAGGTGTACACAGAGGTTCATGTATTAAATGTAACATTTACCTAATTTGTGCAAAAAATACAACTACACCCTGTAGTACAAAATAGTATATCAGTTGTAAAGAAAATATTGTACGTATTCCAACATCTAACCCAAGATTCCTTGGTCTCGCTGTCATTCCAGCGGTAAGTCCCCTCTTTCAGATGTGGCTTGAGAGACGCTACGGCATCCTCACCTACCGCCTAACGCAGGTGCTTATTGGACACGGGAGTTTCAATAGGTTTCCGCGTCGCGTTCCGCGCTTGCGTTAAAGAGCCATCAGACCACCACAGATAGGGCCCAGTAGGGCTGATGATACGGAGCTGTAGAAGCCGTAACAGGTTACCGGGGCTCCGGCTCGAAGAGCAGGAGTAGGAACGGGGTGGTTTTTAGTCAGTAAGAGTCTGACACTCCCTCTCGCTTAACCGAAGGCGAGTGAAGCCATTCAAAGATTTTCCTAATAAAAAAAAACCCAAGAATCCTCGATCGGCTTTCAAATTTCACCAATATCACTCGGCCACTATTGTAGAAGAAGTACACGACATAAGACACAATTTTTTTATTACAGACACATGCAAAACTAGTGTTAGACACTAAAATAAAATGCAATAAAACTTGCGCAAGCGACAATTCGTTTTAACTACACACTAGAGAGTTGTCTAAATGTTAGGTATAAAATATAAATAAACTTTGTTTTACAAGCGATTTGATTTGCACGATACTCAGTGAATCGTCCTTGTGATGTAAAAATAATGTTTTAAGTGGGAACTGGGTTGTGAGTTTGTGATTGCATCTCTGTTAGTGATATAAAAGTAGTGGTGTCATAGTTTTTTTTACAACAATATTATGTATATGTTTTTTTTAATAACTATCGTGAGACATACTAAATTAACTAAAAATCGCGGGTTACTAACGTGAATGTACTGTAAAAAGCTCTACTAGTTTCGAATCACAGATCCTCATGAGCAGCCTGCGCGGTCGCGGCGATGTCGCGCAGCCTTAGGCTATAGTGAAGTAGTAGATTGGTTAGCACCCTCATTGAGCAAGCGTGGTGATTAATGCTCAAACCTACTCCGTGTGAGAAGAGCCCTTTGGTCAGCAGTCGGCATTTATATACTGTTGATGATGATGATGATGATTGGTTGGTTTGGTCACTTTCAACGGGTTTATCTGAGAGTCTCTGGTAGTCGAGGTTCAGTAGTAGACGACTTGAGGCCGATATGATGATGATGATGTAGAGTTATCTAAATTAATAGTTGTTTTTTTATAAATAAACTTGGAATGGATGATCTTAGAGGGGTTAGGACCATTTTATTTTAGTTTAGTTTTAACTAACCCTAACTAACACAGACACAAACCGAGTGAGTCGTGTAAGTATGGTTATCAGAAGCCTAATTTTCCCCCTCCCCTTCCCCAATCTCCCTAATCCCGGAATCCCCAATAATCTTCAAATTGCTAATCGCCAGCAAGCTGGTAACGCACTTGTAACGCCTCTGGTGTTCCAGGTGTCCATGAGCGACGCCGATTGCTTGCCATCAGGTGATCCGTCTGCTCGCTCTAATGAAAATAACATTTTTTTATTTATTACCAGATGAAGTTACAACATCTATTACTGTATCAAAGGTCTGAAATCTGAAACTGAAGATATAAACGTTTTTCACCGGTGACCGCTTCCCACTCACTCCATTATAGACTTTATTTCTAATGTTTAGAGACTACTTTTGTATGAACAAATTTTGTGAATATTTAGTAAGATATATCACTTGATTAAGTTGGTAATTGGGGCTCTTATTTTACCTTTAGCGACAAAATCATCCGACAGATTTCTATCAGCCATTTTCAATATTCTTATTGAAAGTGGCAGCAAGATAACAAACCCATCATCCAATCACTACGCTCCTAAAAACTGATATATTTTACATACAAACCGTAAGTTTTCCACATCCGACATACTGTTTACAAACTAGACGTTTATATATGTACTTAGTATACATATTTATATGTGAATTTCTTAGAACTCCTCATTTAAAACTGCCTCGTTGGCCGAGTTGCAATAGCAACTTCTAAATATTGAGATTTCTAGTTCGAAACCTAGGTCAGCCTGACCGGGACTGCAGAGGAACACAAGGAGTTTCTATGGTACCGGTTCAAAGCAAGAGTTTTAAGTCAGTATGAGTTTGACACTCCCTCGCGCCTCACCCAACGCGGGAAAAGTCATTAGATGATTGTTCCACTTACAAAAAAGCCTGAATAAGCGCGCTACGTAGGTATCTACGTACGTACCTCATAAGCAGTTTAATTTTTTTGGTCACACCGTGAAATGTATTTCGTATTTGTCCGCGACAAAACATCTTGCCATAAGGAGTACTTTCGATTTGTAAAGTAAATGCAAAGAAATAAAAAAGTATTTTTTTTTTAATTTAAAATATCCTAAGAAACATTAGACTTAAAAATTGTAAGCACTATTCCCATCACACGTGCACCCGACGAGCAATACCTATTCGAAAATTATATGGCGTGATGTTTTTGATAATGTAGGTACTATAAGTTCGTATGCGCTTTCGAAGTTTGCATTTTGCAACAGTTTACCAGTTATTTTTTGTTTGAAACATTTTATTTCTTTGTAAAACTATTGTATTACCAAGACAGAACAATTTAACTTACGGGACGAAAACGAAATAGATTTCACGGTGTAAACATTTGCATGTAACCGAGTGTTAGCTGATGGTATGAAAACCAGGTCCTAAAGATTCCACATTGATCAACAGTGGATATCTTTAAATTGATGACGACGAAAAGATGAATCTACAGTACAGTTTAGCTCCTTAACTCCATTTTGCTTTTCGTTGGCCATCCTACATACCTACTACATAAAATATATCTAATTCACAATGACTTCACTACCTCATAATTTGCAATTTATAACAACATTTCAAAACTGTTACTCATTTTAAAACACTGTTCTAAATTGCTACTTCAATGAAACGAAAGATCAAAGAATAACATTGGCTATATGAACACACCAGCCAATATCAATCAATCTTATTTTTCAACAGATATTTTAATGTAATAAGATCAGATACTCTTCTGTGATCCATTATGTTTGCCCTTTGAAAAGTTTATTAATGATCAGCGAGTCCATTGTAAAATGGCATTTAATGGAATGGAGAACAATAGGAATGTTGGTGATATTCCTGTGTGCTCTAAAATAAGTCTGTTAAAGAGGCTACTAGGTATTAGAAATTGTGTCTTATTTTCGAGGTTCAGTGTTCTGTTGAAGAGGTTTCGAAATATTCCGTGATGTCATAATCAAAATCTTAGCATATAACACGGAGAAGGTTTGTGTATTAAACACCACGCTTGCTCAATGCGTGTTGGCGATATCAAACTTATAATTAGAAATTATAAGCCCAGGTTTCCTCACGATGTTTTCCTTTATCGTTTGTCCATGGTGTCTAGATAATCTTAGGAAGTACAATATAACTCGGAAAAAGTCACATTGGTACTTGCTGTTGGTAGGTTTTAAACCCGCACTCTCATGCATGAAAAGCGTTTCCTATAGGTGTACACTTTACTAGTGTAATGATGGTTTTGAAAATACCGTTAGATAATAATTTAAAAACTATTAAAACCATTCTTGCATAATTGTCTAGTCTAGGCTATAGACCTAGGTTTATATAATGTGCGGTTTGCTCAGCCGCAGTACAAGGCCTATAGTTCAACGTACAGTGTTAGCTTACATGTGACATAAGACAGGTGTATTATTACGGTTCTACGAGAAAATAGGGTAGGCAGATATCTAAGTATTTTGGGGAGCAAGTTGCATCGGATCAAAATGAGGTTCAGCTAGAGATGTTGGGTGGTTTTTGTTCGTCATGATTAAATAGACATAATTATAATACTTATGCTCTTTTTTGGAACAATATATTCCAGTTTTACAGAGTAAGGCAGAAAGATTATTTTTAAGGAATAAGCCGGTAAATGAGCAGTCGTATGATAAGCAATCGGCGCTGCTCACTAACACCCGAAACACCAGAGGTGTTACAAGTGCGTTACCGGCCTTTTGGGGATTAGGAGTTTGAGGATTTTTGAGGATATTGGGGAGGGAAGTAATTGAGCTTTCAGTAACCTCACTCACACGAGGAACACAACACAGGTGTTGTTTCACGTCGGTTTTCTGTGAGGTCGTGGTATCACTCCGGTCGAACCGGGCCATTCGTGCCGAAGCATGCCTCTCCCACACTTAAAGGAAACACTAAAATACTAAGAATAATACTCCTCAATGCTTGTGTACCTATAGTATTAGAGGAATGAGTAACATTATTAGATTTCAGTGTACCTACTACCAGATGTCGATCGATTACTAGACTACAGACAGTAACCAGACGCCATGATTAAAATGTTGCTATCACCAAACTGATCTAGCAAATGCTAAGTTTGTTTTTTCTATTCCTGTAATTCCTCTGATGGTTAGTCAGAACAAGTATTTAGTCTGCATCTTCATTATTGTTTAATTGTGCTGTTATTTCAGTTGTATTGTGTTAAATGGTGACTGCACGGTTGGTGCGGTGGCTGGGCAACCGGCTGCCGTGCAACGTGTCGCGGGTTCGATTCCCGCGCGGAACAACACTTTGTGTGATCCACAAATTGTTGTTTCGGGTCTGGGTGTCATTGTGTATATGAACTTGTATGTTTGTAAACGCACCCACGACACAGGAGACAGTCATAGTATGGGGCAACGTTTTAAAAAAAAAATGGGTTTGACTAATACGGTAATTTACAGTTAGTCAAATTCAATACTTTTATTGCAATGTCAAAAACGATACTTTTCTATGAATTTTGTATTGGATCGAAACCTGTGACGTCATTATATTTCTGCGTCAAATAGCATACTCATTTCCTTAAAATTAGCGAGAAAAAATCCAGAAGTAGGTAAATCATCATATCAATAGATGAGAGTATCATTATTTTTTAATTATTACTGCAATGAAAAATCGAAATAATTTATTTTAAACTTAGAAAACTACCCAATTGTAAAGGGCAGTGAAACTTTTGCCACACATAGCTAGCTAAGCTATAACCTATTCGCCAATTAACTCGTCGAGTACCGGTTTTATAGACACAATTAAAGAACAATAGGTCGCGGTCACCGGTGACCGCTTGGTGTTTGACAGTTTAATGTTGTAAAACCTAGACATACATTAGACGACTGTAGGTATTAAAAATCAATAGCAAAAAGACTTAGGTTTACCGACCGTAAACGAACTAAGTTGTAGAGTTTCAAATAGATTGCTATTATTTTCTGACAGGCGTTTTTTTCTGTAATAAAAAATGCTAAGATAGTAAATACTAAATAAATTGCGGTTTTCAGAAAACTGTTTGTTACACTTAGGAAAAGGTTTTAGTATTATTAACAACCTGCCTCGTTGGCCGAGTGGTCGCAAGTGCGACTGCCGGGCAAGGGATCTCGGGTTCGGTTCCCGGGTCGGGCAAAGTATTACTGGGGTTTTTAAAAAAATCTCAGTAGTAGCACGGAGTCTGGAATTGTGCCCGGTATATGGCAATAGGCTCACCCCCTATTACATGGGACTCATAACATAATAGTGAAAAGTGGGTGTTACATTGTACAGTGGCATAATGTTCACCTCTGCCTACCCCTTCGGGGATAAAAAGGCGTGATGTTATGTTAATAACCTCTCTGCGGTTTGAATCTAGTAGAGCTTTTCTTAGTATATTCACGTGAGTAACCCGCGATGTTTAGTTAATCCTCAATTTATCTTACAAGTTTATCGTAATGTCCTTCAAATCAGTTCAAAACGATTATTAATCTGTATGACAAAACGATATTACAATAAATTTTAATTTACTTAATGTCACCACGCTGTTTATTTTATTGGCCAAATAATTTAGATGAATATTATATTTTGATACACGGAAATATGGGTGCAATTTATAGCTAATTAGCAAAGAAATAAATGGGATTTGAGCTGTATATGAACAAGTAATGGTCATTGTATTTATAATGAAAGATTTTCAATGTTTTTTGTAGTGAACAAAGAAATTTGTAATTTAAGAATAATTATGTTTTTCGGCTTAGGTACTCACGTAATTATTTGACGAGGAATTCGACTAGTTTCAAACCATGCTAGAGCCTCATATTAGTGAGTAGCATTCTGCGATACGCTGAATATTTACTTATTAAGCCTTAATTTAATGAACGTTATATAATTATTTGATTCTATCTGGTTTCATTTATCATAATAAATAAATAATATTTTATAATCCCTATTATTTTCTAAGGATCTAAAAGTTATAAGAATCGTAATGAAAATACTTAATGTTCTACTGAAGACCGTTATGCATTCCAAACAAAATAATCAATCATTTAAATACGTTTCCAGGAATACAAATTAAAAACTTTTTAATGTTTAACATCCTAATCCAGTTATCTAATACTAATCAATAGAAAAGAAACAAATAACTATTCGAATGTAGCGACATCTATCGAACCATTTAAACAGTTATAAACCGCCCGCCCAGTTACCACCATAAGCTAACCGTTCGCTTGCCGCCCGCCCACTAAATTGGTTCAGAGAACATCCACCAGATGTCGACTGCAGTATCTTAGCATTTATTTGATAAAGGTTTGGTGTTATTATTGGTTTCTTCTGCAAATCTGAATTATTAGATGAAAATATTATATCAATAATATTTTAGAAAAATTTGAAAATATATATCTGTAAATATTGATTGGCCCGTGAAGGTATTGCAAGACTATGTAATATAGGTACATCGATTATCATTTTATGTAAGCCAGAAAACAAATTACCGAGGATAGTCCAGCTAGCACTATCTGATAAATGAACTTTTGCAACTTTCAACAACTATACTACGATTTAAGATGACGAAACAAAACATTTCTTGCAATACCTAACACGTAACGCTTAAAATGAAATGACACAGTAGTGTGATGATTAAGTAGTAACGTTCCCACACTGTCAGCACAGTATATACAGTATTTTATCACCCGATCAAAGTCCAGGGGGACGATACTGAGGTACATGTTGTTATTGTTGCAGCACGAGTGACGCGGGCGCATTATGCGCGGGGTCACGTGACGACCCATGGCGTCAGACGCGCGCCCCAGCGAGCCCGCAGATGGCGCCAGGAGACGACGAGAATACTCCAGGTGACAAACATACTGAATACTCTTCTCATATACAGTAAGTAACAAAGAATCAAGGAGTAAAATGATAATGTAGTAAATGGATTTTTATTGGGAAATATTTATAGTCTGGAATATTTTCAAACATCACCCACAGCAACCGACCACGAAAATTGTAAACATTGCTACGAGGTCGCTGTGTCGCCAAATCGCCAACGTTCGACTATTTATAGGCGACGCGTCTTCCGTCTGTCTGTCCGACACCTGCTCTTACCCAGACGCTTACTAATGTTTGCACTACATCGTTAGTATGTAGATCTTTTAACGTGCAACTGTCAATTATATCGGGTGTTATTTGCTTCAAAGCAGTATTTCAGACGACAGTCATCTGCTCCGATATAACTGTTGAACCGTGGCGGAGTGGGTCGCGGGGAATCCTCCCGGAATTCAGCGGCGAGTTGCGGGGAAGCTCGCGCACTCTAAATCGGTCGCACTTGCCGCCAAGCTTTTCGGCGAGCCGCGCGCGCTGTCGTTCTCGCATCTAAATATATCGGCGTCGTGTGCGCAGGTCCCCGTACGTGACGCTGGGTGCGGTGCGGTACGCTGTCCGCCGTGCACCGCCGCCGCGGGCTTGCCCCTGCCGCTGCTGCTCTGAGGAGGCGGTGGCGGCGTGCCTCGGCCGCGCCAAGCCCGATCGACGCACGCTGGATCGTATCCAACGGCGGCTGGGCCGCGGCTCGCGCGACGAGCGGCCCTCGCGCCAGCAGCGCCTGCAGGCCCTCACCGAGCGGCTCCTGCCGCGCCCGCACCCCACACCGCCCCCGCCGCCACCACCGCCACCGCCACACTCAGCTCCAGTGCTGCCACCGGTGCCACCGCCACGCTCCCGACACCGACACAGCCCACCGCGCGGTGTCTCTGTTGATCGGTGTGATGATTTCGACACGGATAAAATCACACTTGTTCGCGTAGAGCCTCGCTCTATCGTGGGATCCTATGCGCAAAAAACTATACCGTATCGTAGTGCTTCTTTCTCTCAAGGTGATTTTGCACAAGATAAATATTATAGGCCCAATAGGAATCAATCAATTTTTGATTTCGGTAAACGACCTGCAAAATCTGTGTCTGAGTGCGCGAGTGCAAAACGTCGCGATGCCGAGACCGTAAGTCTCACTACCGATGAAAATACTACTGAAGGTGGGTCAGTAGCGTCAGTTGACTCCGCGGTAGGGTCTGACGAGGGGTTACTCGCGCATGCGTCTCCTGCGCCGAGGTCCCCGCCGCCAGATGCTCCTCACAAGCAGCTGAGTGGTCGGTCGTTGACGCACCCGCTGCCGCGACGAATCCCTCCAGTGCGGGAGGAGGGCGCGGTCGAAGCTGGTGGTAGTTTGCCAGCACTGACACCACCGCGTGTCTTACATGAACTCCGTGAAGAAAGTGATGGCTCGCAAGCCGACAGTGCACAAGCGCATAGTGAAGGTACTTCACCGCTAGAACCCCAACCTTTTGCTTTCCCTCCTCTCCCTGAACCTCCTACGAACGCCTGTGCTAATGTGGACTGTGATTGTACGAATTTTCCTAATACGATAGAAGAGTGTCCGGAAGAAAATCTTATACCTGTGCCTGTGTATGAGTGTATAGTGAAACAGTGGTCAAAGGAGTTACCGCAGGAGGAGCCACAGCGATCAGACGCCGCGTCTGATGGTTCGTTGGATCGAGATAAGGAAGATGAAACCATAACAAGTGAACAGGTTGCCCACTTACTGGCTGCAGTGCAGAATCCTTGCACGCCCGCACCTATCGGTGCCAGAGAAAGACGCAGACCTCTAGATAAAACAAAAAGAAGGAAAGGAATATATATCACAACGCCGAGTGACGATGGTGGGGAAGAAGAAGGCCCACCTTCAGTGAACGGTTGCAAACGCGAAAGCAGTGAGGCTTCGCTACAAGATATGCGTCTTTCAGCAGAAACGCGAACTTCATCGCTACTCGGTGATAAATCAGATGACTCATGTACTAACGGACCTCCAAGTCCGTGTGAGGGAGCAGCCCCGATGTGGCCGAGGTCCGAAGAGTTAAAAGCGAGGCGAGCAAGGTTTTACCAACAAAGTTCGGATGAAAGAGATGACGACTCATTCCGAACGAGACGGAAATATGGCGACTCACCTTCTGAAGCGGACAGTGACACGTGCTCTAGAGACAGGACTGCGTCGCCGTCTCCTTTTAGTCCATCTGATACTTCAGATGTAGAAGCAAGGCGACAGCAATTTACTAGAGGGCCATATGGTCAAACCTTGGAGGCTCCATGCACTCGGTCAGTTGAAGTGGGCAGGAGGAGTTTGTCTGATGCAACAGTGCCTTGTCGCAAAACTAGTGTTGGGGCCATGACTTCAACACGGCCCACTGGTCGGGGTCCGACTCACGTCAGAGCAACCTCATCGCCTTCAAAGTTGGTGGGAGTGAAGCCTGGAGCTGACTTGCTGGCCGAGCTGCTCCGAGGCAGCTCTGAAGCTCTCTCGAACTCGTCCACATTCGACAACGTGGTATTGACGCTACATCAACACAATGTGAGTACTTTTAAAACATTCTTTGTAGTTGCTATTGACCCCGATTACATCCGCAAAAAGAGCAACAAAGTGAAACGCTGCAAATTCTGTTATGATGTTTATCTCAGCAGAAAATAGCTTAAGAACAAACGATCTTGTGTTATTGCCAAAGTTTATTTGAGTTTATACACTGAGATTTTTGTCAGTTGTGCGAACGAATGCTAGTGGAATATACAATTTCGGTCGCAGTTTTTGTTAATCCGCGATCATATTCATGGTCGTGTTGTATATAAATATAGTATTCGTGTTCCCCGGCGTTCCTCGGGCCAATGTCGCGTGAATCATGCAACAGCTGTTCCAGGGGCATTAAAAATCGTAAGGGCAATCGTGTTTATTTTAAAGCACTGTCACTAAACTCGAGATTAATCGTAAAGGACGGGTGCACAAATGTGCGCTCAGAATATTGGCCAGTTCCAATTTGAAACGACTACATATCTTGTTTGTGTTTCTCCTTAATTGTCGTGATTCGTGATGGTCTTTGGGTTCAGATCAAGGGTTCCTCGAAATCAGTTTGATTACAATTTATTGAATCGAAAATTACAAAGAAGCTATTTTCATCTGAACTTCCGAGAAATGAATTTGTGACAAATTATTCAACGAAGTGATGTTAGTTCATTTCCTTAAAATACTTTAAAACACACTGTTGGTCATAGACACTCCTAACGAATTCATATTATTGATATATCCAATCTGAAAAGTTGTTTTAACTACAAAAGTAGTAGTCACTTTCACCCGAATACTGAAAGGCTACTCAATTTGAAGTTGTACTGAAATATCTTGCTATCTCTGTCATTTTACATAGAATTTGTACTGACAAAACAACACTTAAGCGCGACTTAAAATTTAGTAGCTTTTCAATATTCGGGCGTTAACAGCGGAAATGTCTTTCCTTCAAAAATTTTCTCAGCAATCAACCGATAATAATCATAAACAGAATGATGAAATGGTCGATTTAACTTTCAAATCAATGCCTGGTAACATCTAGCTAGCAAATGGTGACGTAGATATTGAACATCAATTCACTACGTAAAAACATTCGCATCTTCTACCTCGTGATGCTGAAATGTTTATAAGAGAAGTCAAAGATGTATTTGAAAACAAGAGTAATTTGGAAAGGAATTTTGACAAGGAATGCATTGAATGTATTTGCAATGAGTGAATCAGTTGATGCTTAAACATGTCATGTCGAAATGGGTTTAGAAGGTGGTTTTGATGTGTGAGAGTAACTAGCTATTATAGCTGCTAAAGAAAGAATAAATGATAGAGAAACATAGAGACTAAAATTGTCGTATTGTTCCTTTCATTTACAACGAGATTTTGCGAATTGGTCTTCACAATTCATCATCATCAACAGCCTATAATTGCCCACTGCTGAGCAAAGCCTCTTCTCATACGGAGAAGGTTTGAGCATTAATCACCACGCTTGCTCAATGCGGGTTGGCGATTACAAACTTATAATTAGAAATTATAAGCCCAGGTTTCCTCACGATGTTTTCCTTCACCGTTTGTCAGTGGTGTCTGAATAATCTTAGAAAGTACATATAACTCGGAAAAAGTCACATTGGTACTTGCCGTTGGTAGGTTTCGAACCCGCACCCTCATGCATGAGAAGCGGGCGTCTTAAACCTCCGGGCCACCACGACATTCGTCGACAAGGTCTTCAAAATTGTCAGCTTTTAAACATAAAAGCTTAAAAAGGCGTTTTACAATCGAAAGTGTTTAATATATTTATTTTCGAAATTTTAACACTTTAACTGTAACTGTTATTTTTGTTGCTATCACCCAATCAGAACGGATTTACGATTTCGATGCAATAAACACTTGAAAACATATAAAATATAGCGATATTATTGCTTTTAAACACGTAACATGGCCGTTAACATGCAAGTATTAATAATATTAAACTTTTTTCGCCTAAATGAGTGCTGAAGATAAAATTATTATTTTGATTGGTTATGTTCTAAATGTCTTATTGTACGGAGTAATCTTATTCATCCCTCGTTGGTTGAATCAAGGAGGGATAAGGGGTCTCCGAAAATGATATGGCATTTTATCCTAGAAAGGGTAGCCAGACCTGCACATTATAGTACTTAATGCCACTGTACAATGTAACACCCACTTTTCACTATTTATGTAATTAGTCCCATGTAACAGGCGGTAAGCCTATTGCCATATACCGGGCATATTTTCAGACTCCGTGCTACTACTGAGTTTCTTTTAAAAACCCAGTAATATTTGAACGACCCGGGAATCGAACCCGAGACCTTAAGCCAAGGAGGCAGTCAAGTTTTAGGTTTTTCAATGATTTATAATTTGTCAATAATTGTAATAGTATAGGATTTGGAATTGTGTAACTGCAATCTAATTTCTGAGTCAGGGATAGAACTTAAAGCCATTTGCACCAAGCAGTAAGCATCATCTAAAGTAACTAGGTCCTTATTTACCAAGACGATACATAAACACTAGCACATACCTTCCTCGTTAATTCCCTATTAACGAAGTTTTAAAGGAAATATAATTTTCTACTGAAATTCCAAGCTTGGTTCCTATAACAGTGTAAGACTAGCGAGAAATTGAATTTCCATGCAACACTGTGATCGAAGCACCTAACTATATTAGTGATGAGGCATTAAAAAGCTTGTTGTTTTGTTATAAGGTTTAATTTTGCACGTGACGTGTATGAGGTGGCTGTTTTTCTATGAAGGGAGTAGGTAGTGAGTAGGTAGTGTAGTGGTATGTGTGACTTTTTAAAAGTCGTAGTTATACCGGCTCGTTGGTCGAGAGAGTAAAAGAGCAACTATCAAGAGTTATTTTTTGGATCGATAAAAGTACTGTTACACTTCTTCTATGGAAAATAAGTTGGTAAACGAGCAGACGGATCACTTGATGGTAAGCAACCGTCACCGCCCATGGACACCTGAAATACCAGCGGGGTTAGGAATTTAAGGATTATTGGGGATTCGGGGATTAGGCAAGGGGTAATTGGGCCTCCGGTAACCTCACTGACTCGATCGGTTTTCTGTGTAGCCGTGGTATCACTTCGATAGAGTCTTAAATATATTATATGTAAATAGCTTTAGCTGTGGATTGCCTATGAATGAGTATACCTAAGACTTTTGCGTTTAAATGAGATTCTAGAAACAAGCAAAAAACCATACAAATACTTCCTTTGGGTTAATCCAACTTCACTGTTTCAAGAACTTCATCAACAACCTATAAATGCTCACTGCTGAGTAAAGCTTCTTCTCCCACGGAAAAAAATTGAGCATTAATCACCACTCTTGCTCAATGCGGGTTGGCGATTGCAAACTTATATTCAGAAATTATAAGCCCAGGTTTCCTCACGATGTTTTCCTTCACCGTTTGTCAGTGGTGTCTAAATAATCTTAGAAAGTACATATAACTCAGAAAAGTCACATTGGTACTTGCCGTTGGTAGATTATGAGGCATGAGAAGTGGATGTCTTAAACCTCCGGACCACTACGACAATAACATTAAAACATTAACGTTGTTAGAAGAAAAAGAACTTCATAATCGTCTGAAAACGTTTCATACTAAAATGTATTCATCTTTATATTTACCTGGATATAAAATCTTCATGATAAAGTAAATTCAATGGAACGAGAAGGTATGTATCACCATTTCTCTATAAGCTAAATTTGAGAAACCATTTAAGCAAAGATACAGTTAACTGAGAACTGAATTTCAACTTCCAGGAAAAAATAGTGAACTTGCTATTTTCTGTTGGGAAAAACCTAACATTGGTCAGCTGATGAATGAATACTGATGTTCTTACAATCTATAGTAGTTTATACTCTCATTAAATAATGGATTTCCTATCTAGACTGATATACCATAAATTGAAATATGTTGTAATTCATAGAACTGCCCGGCAGTCACACTTGCGACCACTCGGTCAACGGTCTCGGGTTTGATTACCAAACCGGGCAATGTATTACTGGGATTTAAAAAAAAATTCTCAGTAGTGGCACGGAGCCTGGAATTGTGCCCGGTATATGGCAATAGGCTCACCCCCTATTGCATGGGACTAATAAAATAAATAGTGAAATGTGGGTATTACATTGTACAGTGGCATTAAGTGCCGTAATGTGCACCTCTGGCAACCCCTTCGGGGGTAAAAGCTGTGATGTTATGTGAATTCTTCACCCGACTAATCTCAGAGTTGTTGGGGGACCATAAGACCGTCCTCTACTGAACATAGGCCATGATCAGCAGTTAACGTCTTGTTGCTAGCTAGCATGATGATGAAGATTATTATGAATTTTTCATGCGGGTGTACGCAAGCGTACCCGCAGCAAGAAGTTAGTTTAATACAAAATGTATTTATTATTTGCATCTAAGTTCTTGTACATCATGGTGTCTGTGACGTCATTCAGTTTCTAAATGCTTCGTGGATCTACGTACACAAGAATCTAGAATTTATGATAGTGACGTCACAACTTAGGTATTCCATTTTGAAATTTTGTTCGTGAGTAGTGAAAATAGGTTTTATTAGTATTCCGTTAGGTGTTGCTATGTTTTGATTAATTATATTGTTTGAAGTTTGTTCCTGTTGAAATATTTACTTTAGATCAAGGACGGTGGACGAAATTCTAAGATTTATTCTTTTTGAAATACTCTGTTCTATTGCATAAAAATGTTATTTGAACTTCTTCTGGAATTGAACCAGTAATATACCTTTTATAAAACGATTTTCAGTTGGTATTGTATTTTTTTAATAATGTTGAAAGGAGATCATTTTTATGGGTCCTAACTGAACGAACAAAATGGCACGTATCGTTAGATCTAGCCAGTTGGAGCAATAGTTAATATGGCATAAAAGTTGTTGGATCCAAGATGAAGAAGTTATACCAGTTCAAAGATTCAATAGACGGACTGACTGACAGACTATTATTTATTTTGTATTTGTTGACGTTTTAAAAGTACCAAATTATGGTTTAATTGAAATAAATGCTTTGACTTTGACTTTCGATTTGATACCCAATAATATTTTTGTGTTGGATAGTGCATTTATTGACAAAAGCTATAAAACATCACGCTATGACTAATAGGAGCCG